TCTTTTAAATTTGTTTGGTCTACTTCGCATGACAAGCTTTTGTTAACATTATTATCATCTGTAATGCCTTCTTCTTTTTCTTCTACTTCGGGTAAAGTTTTATCGGTTACATTTTGATAACTGTCGATAATAAAAAACACTTGAAACGTAAGTAATTAATAATAAACTTTCAGATCTTATATTATACCAAAAATTTAAAAAAACTCGCGTAAACAATACAATAAAAAACAAGTAACAACAAAAGTAGGGGAAGGTTGCGTAAGATGAGCAGGTTCCTAAGATGGTATAACCTCTTTTACTGGTAGAATAATGATATTTTCGCGAACTTTTTTAGTTAAGGATATTTATACAAGTTCGACGGTGTTATTTATTTTAATTTCTTAGTTGTTTAGTTAATATTTTTTGATTGTTTTACTGTTAAAAAAATTTACCATCCCCGTTATAATTTTTTGTTATTCATCATTTTGTAATTACGTTAGAAGGAAACAAGATCATCAAAAATTTATTACATCCTCAATATTTTATGCTTATCTACTACTAATTTCATGGGTTACTTGAGATAATACATAAGTTGTTGTGATGTTATTAAAGTATGATAGTACTTGATGAACTATCAATTAATTTGATTGTACTATGATAGAACTTGATGAAGTTACTTAAGATAATTTTTAGACGCTCAAGATGAGATACGGCTTTTTATTAAGAAAAGCGCGTTTTTTTAAAGTTATTCTCCGCGTAGCTTTATTTTAGTATTTTAAGAGCAAAAGTTTTTTCAAAAAAAAGGATCGTTAACTTTTCAGAGATTAAAAAGATTTATTATTGTTGTTTTTTTTATGGTTGAGATGATTACTTTTTGCTTAAGTATAGTCCTTGAAGATAATTTTTTTTTTTTTTGTAATTTTGAGTTTTTTTGAGTTCCATTAAAAAAAAGCTCATCTTAGGAAACTGGTTTTCTAAGATTTTTTTTTAATGAATTATTTATTTATATTCTTTGAGAGGAAAGAGGAAGTTATCATTATTCTTAAAAAAATATATATCTTTTTGTAATCTTTTGGGAGTAAAATACATTACACTAAAAACATGATCAAATTACACAACCTTCCCCTACTACTATAAAAAAAAATAACGTATAGATAATATTTATATCTATATCTAGTTAATATTATATCTAGTTAATATCAAACTAATCAAACTAATTATTATAAAAAGATGATCAAAATAACTTTTTTACTTAAAATATCCAGCTAACGATTTGAATTTGCGGCATTTTGAAGCTCTTTTCTATCAGCTGCTCGTTTCCTAATTTGGTTAGACATGTTAACTTTTTGCTTTTAATAGTAAATTAGTAGAGAGTTATAATTACAGTATAAGCTCTGGAGAGACTATTTTTCATTTTTAGTTTACAAAAGATTTCACAATGAAATAACTTGTAATGACGAATACGTTTCTGAAACAATAAAGTAAAAATTGTTTCATGTGAATGATTCATAAAAATCAAATAATTACCATAAAAATTTTGATCAAATATTTTGACATTGAAAAGAGTCTGGAAATAAATTTTGGCGTCAAATTAAAAAAGGCGCTTTGCATAAAAAGGGGGTGTCGATCGCACCCAGTGACCCCCCTTCCTCCCTCCCCCACGGACCTGTATTGAATTAATATATGTCTTATTATATATATATTAATTATATATATATATATATATATATATATATATATATATATATATATATATATATATATATATATATATATATATATATATATATAATTTATATATATATATATATATATATATATATATATATATATATATATATATATATATATATATATATATATATATATATATATATATATATATATATATATATATATATATTTGTATTGAATTAATATATATCTTTTTTATATTTTGTTTGCATTTACAGATGACTGTTTGACAAATGTGTTATGCACAGAAGAAGGAATGGATGCACTAGAAACTATTGGATATAGAAGTGATCCAAATCAATTAGGTTAACTAAAGATAAATTGTCGTTTTTTTATTTAGTAAACTTCTAGCCTGGATTCATTTAATTTATTTTTATATAACTTCCTGGGTTCAATTGATATTTTTCTTTGTTTTCTTTTTTAGATCAATGATAACTAAAGGTAAGTTAAAGCAAATTTTACCTGCAAAAACACCAAAAAAAGCACATCTCAATAACTTTTTTATTATTTGCTTTTGAGAAAAACTGTTTTGAATGTGTTTAGAGTTGCTTAAAATCAGTTCGTCCCAGCTAGTTTGATTAATTTTCAAGAAAAAGTTTTGTTTTTATTGTTAACTGAACTTTTTTTGTTTTTTGTATGTGTACCCCAAAAAACCGCATTTAATTTATGGATTGTATCTCTGCAGCTAGTGAACCTATGAAGCTGAAATTTGGTGTGTCCTAATATTATTTGATTTGCTTTAAATAAAACCAGTTACTGCTAACTTAATTTTGGAGAAAATACCCGATGCACCATAAAAACCACAAGATAGGTACCCCAAAAATAACATTGATACTTTTTAAATAACATTTTATATGCTATACATGTATTCTCGCTTTTTACTATATTGATTTTATGTAACCTCTTAATTCTAAAGATCTCATTGCAGTGTTTTAAACAAAGTTCGCATCGCGTTTTTTACATATTATCAATAACATTTTTAGATTATAACTATTGCAAGAAAATTTAAAACTTACTTCGTGTTTGAACCTAGAGCAAAATCTAAATTTTTACTTGAAAGTTGTTTTTTAGTATTTAGATATGTTCTGTAAGCGACTAATGTACTCTAAAATGTTTAACGATAAATTTTTTAATTAAAGTTAAAAAAAAAAAAACATAGAAAATGAAGCCAAAATTATAGCTCAGACAGGAAAAATTACAATCTATTCATGAAAAAGTAAGCCTGAGGCATAAATTGGGAGAAAGTTCACAGATGAAAAGAATTTACCATTAGAAAAGGAAGTGCCAAGAATTTGATGGTTACCTTACTGAGAAGACAATAGATTGACCTGTTGTTTTATTATCTGACGGACATAGTTCACGATTTAGTTACAATGGTTTAATATTCCTCCTTTCAGAACAAGTTTTGTTATTTATTTCTCCTCCCAATACTACTGGCGTAACTCAGTTGCTCGATCAGGTTAATAAAAATCTTCATCATGAGTACAGAATTACTAAGAATTATTTTTTCAACCCAATGCAATTAATTATTCGTGAGGGATTTATGACAATCTTAGGTAATATATGGGAGAAATGGGCATTAGAATCAATTCTTGTTTCTAGTGCAAAAAGAGTTGGAATAACACCTTTTGAATTAAATGTTAACATTATACAACGAGATAAATTTGAGCGAGCTGCTGCATGCATTCATAAAGAAGAATCATCGTCAACTTTTTTCAAAAAACCTGAATTAACCATTTTGTCACTAGTTTTTAAAAGGAAAGGTTCGGCAAGTTACTGAAAGATAAGTTTGACCAGTCTCAAATTTTGATTAGAGAAATAGCTGAGCAAAGCCTCCAATTAGAAAATATTCCTGATCTGCTAATTGTTAAGAAAATCAAACCAAACCTTGAAAAAATATCTACTCGTGTTACTTAGGTCTATTGTTCAATGCGTGAAAAAGATGTTGCAGCAGAAGTGAAAAATATAAAAGTAGAGAAACGACAAAAGATAACAGCAAAGGAGGAAGCCAAAAAAAAAGAAAAAAGAAGCTAAAGAAAAATTTATTACATGTAAAGTTGAATGTTTTTGCAAACAAAGAAAATGTCAAGCTTTTGGCCTAAAGCAATGTCCTAATTGTCTTAATATTCTCCCTTCAATTTGCAGCAAAGTGAGTTGCAGAGTTGATGGTGTTAAACTGGTTATACTTTTAACAGTAAACCAGCACTTCTTCGCATCTAAAAGACTGATATACGACCATTATAACGAATGCAACGACAATCAATATTCTTTTTTTGAATTAAAGTAATCAGTAAAGTACTATTTTATTTATCTATTTTATCTTAACATTGTTGTGGTAACCTATTTTTATAATAATGTTTTAAAGTCTGCAGCCGTTTTAGATGTTTGTGTTATTACTGCTGTGTTAAAATATTGTTTTTAAGATAAATTTATATTATCATTTTTTTTTTAAATACAATGGTAATTTATTGTTGTTTTTATTTCAAAACATGGTCTATAAAGTGAATTCTATAAACTGTACCCCAAAAACAACAAAAATACTTCCTTTCTTTTTAAAGGTGTTATAAAGATTTATAACTACTTGAGAAAAAAAAACTTTTTTTAGTATAATCAATAGGTAATAGAAAAACTATGTTTTTCTAACTTATTCTTTGATACGCCTTCTACACTCCTACAAAACAAAAAAAAATTTTATGAATGAAATTTTTACTCTAGTGCAAATACCAACTTTATTTAACATATAAAAAAAACCACTAAACTGCTTTAATTTATAGGCTGATATATTAGCTATCATAATATATCAAGTTTTTTCAATCCTATGTCACTTAAGTCAACATTATGGTTTTTGCGATACGGTTGTTTTATATACCTGTAATAGGAGAAATTGCGATTGGTTTACAAGTGTACGGCCTTTATGAAGTTGTTAAAAAAATTTTTAACGCAATGCATAATTTATTTTGTGCAAACGAAAGTTTAAAATGGAAGTTTAATGATTTTACACAACTGTTAAAACCGCAATTTAGCAAATCCGGAGGCATATTTTGAAACCCTATACAACAGTGGTTCCCAACCTTTTCTAACCCGTTCCCCAAATTAAATATCCTAAAATCTTTATGGACCCCTTTGATTTTAAAAATTATTACAAGGTGAACATTTTAATAATGTAACTTTTATTCATAAGGATAATATTTTATTTAAGGTATTTTTGAATAGACTAGACACAAAATCAATATTTATCAATGACACAAAAATTTTTTATCTTAGTTTATGTATGATACAAGAACAGATCAGTGTGAATTCTGACACTGCTTACTAGCAATTAATATCTGAAAATTTGGTTTAGTTTTTGATAGAGCACATCTAATATCTGCATCAATATCAAGTCTATTTCTTTTTTTTGTTTTAAGAGATAGCATTGCTGAAAACCTGGCTTCACACAAATATGATGTTGAAAAAGGAATAAGGGCTTTAAGTGCAATTGATGAACACAATGGATATGAATTCCTCATTTTCAACCAGAAGTTATTTAATGGTGCTACTTTGAAGTGATCCTTAGCCGTGGTATCATTCTTTAACTCTATAAACTCTTCTTGTGCTTCCTCTTTCACATTTTTCACATCACAAGAAAATGGTGATATAATAACTTCACTGCTCAAAAGATTCATATCTAGAAAATAGTTACCAAATTCAGTAATCAAATTATCTAGGTGACAAATTATTTCTGTCTTTATAACTTCAGGAAGCATGTTAACTCCAATTATGTTATTTAAATTTTGAAACATGATCAAGTTTCCATTATTAATTCTAGTCTTGTACAGTTTGAGCTTTTCAATAAATGCCTTCAGTTTATCTGAATGTGTAATAACATTAGCATTTTTGCCTTGAAGTTGCAAATTTAACTTGTTAAAATGACCTACGATGTCCACAAGATAAGCAATTGTTATTTCAAAATTATCAAATTCAAAATATGCTACCAGTCCACTTTTCATTTGACATAAAAATTCTTTCACTTCATTTCTAAGCATGAAAAATCTTTCCAAAAAATTTCCAGCAGATAGCCATCGCACAGAAGTATAAAACAATTACTTATTGTGTTCAGCATTTAGGTCAGAGCAAAATTTTGTAAAAAGGCGAGTGTTAAGAGCAGAAGATTTTATATAATTGACCAACTTGACTAATTGATTAAATACAGTTTTCAAACTACCTGGTAAAGTTTTGGTTGCCAAAGCCTGTCTATGAATAAAACAGTGTACACCAACTACATTTTGAGCAATCTCTTTCACCCTAGTCTGTAATCCAGACTTACAACCCATCATGGCAGGAGCTCCATCAGTAGTAATTCCAAACAAATATTTCCATTGTAATTGATTGTCATTGAAAAACTGTTTTAAAATTTCCATAATATTAGCTGCTTTTGTTGTTGTTTCAAGGCAAGAAGAAAACAAAAATTCTTCTTTAAATTTGTTATTGTGAATATACCTACAATATACAATTAGTTGTGCCATTGAACTTACATCTGTGGACTCATCCAACTGAATAGAAAAATATGGGGATTCTTTAATTTCATTAATAACATTTTCTTTAATGTTTGATGAAATATCCGTTAGTCTTCGTTTGACTGTAGTATTTGATAAAGATATATTATCTACCTTCTTTGCAGTTTCTTCTCCAAATAATAATCTAACGATTTCTTTTGTACATGGAATTATAACTTCTTCAGTCAATGTGTGAGCTTTTTTGTTCTGTGCTATTATATATGAAACCTTATAGGATGCTTCTACTATATTCTGTTGAGTTTGGTAAATAATCCCAGTTTTATCCAATTTGCATCTCTTCAGTGATTCAAATTTTCTTTTGAAAAAATCAGTATCTTTTGTTTGGAGATCAGGATGGCACTTATTCAAGTGAATAGCAAGCTTTGAAGGTTTCATAGAGTCATTTCCTAGTACTTTATAACAAATAACACACTGTGGGTAGCTAATGGTTTCTTTAAGCATGTAGGTTAATCCATATCTCATGTATTCATCTAAGTATGACCTTTTTTTACTTTTAGACATCTAAAGTATTTAAAAAATAATATAAAAAGCATCTATAGATAAGAGTAGTATAGTATCGAATTTTTATAGAAAATAACACAAATTACGTTCTTTCAAACAAATCAGTAAGGTTATCTTTACCATGAGATAAGATTTTAACATTTTAAATTTACGGATAAAAAATGATATTATATAGCATTTATTACTTCGTAGAGGTCCGCAAGTCCTCGTCGAATTAGTTAACGCAAATTTTGTGTCACAGCTTTCTCGCATAAATTACATTTTTAATTTAAAATTTAATTTGTTTCTTTCAACAGAAAAAAATAATCAAAATTAAGTTTCACTACCAAAAAATATTTAGAATTTACGTTTATCTTGTGGTCCGCTTAAAAAGTTCTTATGGACCCCCAGGGGTCCATGGACCACCGTTTGGGAACCACTGCTATACAAGCTCAGAATAAACAGAGATATGCGCAATCTGATTCGCCAATTTTGAAAGAGAGGCTTTTGCACCTAAGTTTAAATCAAAACAAATGTCAAAAAACGTATTGAATAATAAAAGTGAAATAGAGTAATTGCCAAATAATAATGACAAAAAAAAAGATTTTTTTATCCATTTTTGTACAATTTAGTATATTTATTTTCTTAAAAATAAAGATTTGTTTGTTTTCTTTATTTTTTTTATAACTCTAAAATATAAAAATAACAACGATTGTAACAAACTATAAACCAGATGATAAAACTTTACTATGCTTTTATTGATATTACTTGGTAAAATTTTAAAACTAACAATTTTAAAATTTTACCAAGTAATATCAATAAAATATTATTAACTTGGTATATGTTTTTTCAAATTAAGTTCCCATTAATCCTATCATTTAGCGAGAAAAATATTTTTTTTAAAATACTTTATTTTTTTCAGAATTTTTACACTTATTATTCCCATTTATAAATTGTATACACCACTAAAACATTTTAAGTTTAAGAATATTGCTTATTGGTTGTTGTAGCTTGCCCAGATAATTTACATCACTCTCAAATTAATAGCAATTGTAAACAAGAGCTGATTTAGATTAGCATTGGTAATGTATAGAAATAAAAGATTACAAAGCATTGTAGCATAATAAGCTAAGAAAAAATTTATAACGTGATGTCCACAAGTGTGTTTTGATATAGTAAACTGATTACAAAAATGAACAACTCTTAACTTATCACACCTTTATGCAGAGCTAAGTGTAAAAAGGTAAAAACAAGAAAAATTGCAAAAATACAAGTTCATGTTGTTGTTTATTTCAATTTTAAAAGACAATACATATAAAGCACATGTTTGTAGATATATGGCTTTCAACCTGAACAAAATACTGGTTATTGAATTCTATAATTGGTAAAAAACGTTTACTCTTAAATAGCAACTGATGGTAAATAAAATTAAATAAAGCAACAAAGTTTGAAATTTTTTTTATTTAATATGCTATTAATTTATTTTACATTACACACTCCTGAAGAAAAAAAATATCTTCTCTAAAAAAAAGAAAAAAAAACACTTTTTTTTTATTTTTCTAGGCAGAAATATTCATCTTTCATGTTTCCAAACTTTATTAATAGTTTTATTATGTAATCTTTGGAATAACCAATAAAATCAAGTGTGCTTTTTTTGAATTTCTGTGAATACCTCTTGTATAATAATTTAAAAATAGAGATGTGTTATGTTTTATCTTGAAGTAATATTTTTTTTTTCTGAAAACTTGCTTCTTCAAATGTAAAAGCTTGTTTTGATCAAGTTCTTTTTATTACAATAATTGCCATAATTCACCCTAATTTGGTTAAATTGTTTAACTTTAAGTCTCTTTGTTAGCTTGTATTATCAATGCTTAAATGCAACTGAACAAAAGAACTGTTCAGTAGAAAAAAAAATAAATATCCCTTTTTTTTTTGTTAAATTTTCCAATAGATTATTAATATACAATTTTCATCCTGTTTATATATATAATTTAAAACACCCTGCCAAACTTTTTTTAATTTTTCACAAAGTTTTTGAAGGTTTAAGGATGATGTTTTATTAAAGTTAAGTAAAGAAAAATATTGATGTACGTCTTATCAGCCTTCTCAATATTTAGGTTAAACAGTAACTTCTTCAGAGTTTGCAGATTTACATGGAACATGTAAGCTAGTTTGGTAAAATATCTGTAATTTTTTTTTTTTAAACTAAATGTTTAACTATTTTTAATTAACAAGACAGTGTAAAGATGCAGTAACGAGCATAGAACAACCTCTGCCTCAGCTGAAAATTTATACTTTGCATACTTTAAGTACGTTACCAATAGTCTGGTGTAACTGTATATAAACTTTGTATTGATCATGCTTTATAAAACATAAAAATTACATTTGACAAAAAACACACTTAGAAATCTTGCAAAATTGCACACATGCAAATTCAAGTTAAATATTTCAAGAGTTTATACATACAAAACATATTTTATTATAACAAAAATAATCATAGCATGACAATTGATTTTGTTCTTTTTTTTATTTGGTTAACATATATTACTGTTACTGTTTTTTTTTATTTGGTTAACATATTTTACTATTACTGCTCCTAAGTGCTTCAAAAACTCTTATTCGTCTAGTTTTTTTCCTCAAACATAAGTTCTTGCTCTAGAATCTTCATTTTTTCTCTTCCAGTAACTTCCAACACTAATTAGTGGTTGCTTGCAGCCTTGTTGGAAGCGAAGATATTAAAAAAAATATATATATTTGACTTTAATAATTTTTCTTGCTTTTAATTTTATTGTTTATATGTAACTTCACAAAAAATTACTCTTCAGCAGACAAACATATAAATTTCACATCTGTTGTTAAACTTTCAAATAATATTTTATACATACAGTTAATATTGCCTGCCAAAATTTTTCTAAATTTTTAAAGTGTTTAATGGTTTAAGATGATGTTTTATTAGAGTTATGCAATAAAAAGTAAATCAGTCTCCTCCAAACAATAGTTGAAACAAAACATGAAAACAAAATCTCCTCAAAACTCATATATTGACATGGAACATCTAAGCTAGTTTTGCAATCAGTACAAATTTTCTTTATTTAAAAACTCTAATGTTCAACTCTTTATAATTAACGTATAAATCAAATTATAAATAAAGTTCTTCATCAGTAGTCTGGTAAAACTGCATATAATCTTCATATGCAAAAGTACTTCACAAGTAGTCTTGTACAACTGTATATAAACTTTGTATTTGAGTATGCTTTAAGGCCAAGAACATATTTTGCGAGAAATAAATTTATAGATCTGTAGTGTAGTAAATTAAATAGCCTATAATTAGTTCTAAGCCAACATAGAAGGCTTTATTCTTCATATAATAATAATATGTAAACTAAAATATACAAACAGGTTAGTTTTAGTATACACATAACTAAACTCAACAAGGATAATAATAATTATAAGAATCAGCACAAGATCTTTTCGAATTACACTTTTTTCTATTTCTTTAAATTAACAACAGATAAAACCTCCATCACCAAGATGAACTTTATTGAAACTTTGAGATTTTTACGAGTGAAAATTCTCTGTTACAAATAGATTTTGATACCTTTTAAATATTCTAAAGAATAATAAAATAAAATTTCTATGTTGATAGTAACACAAGACTTGTATTGATAAACTTAGTTCATCATTACTATAAAATTTATTTCCAATTCTGTTTAGATTTTAAATTTATTTTTAAATAAAGCCCATTTGCCTCTCTTTCAAAATCAGCGAATCAGATTGCTCATATTTCTGCCTATTCTGAGCCTGTATAGGGTTTCAAAATATGCAATCCGGAGGGAACAAAAAATAATTTGAACCTTCTACAAAGCTTTTCTTGATGTTAATGAGTATAGCTTTAATACTGGTATATTAATTACTTTACTGTTAATTGATTTACTGTTAAATTTATTATAAAATTCTTAAATACAATAGAGAAGATAATGTGTTTTTATTATTTAAAACTGGCGAATTCTTCATCAAACAATATTTTGCAGTTTTTGATTGCCTCGCAGCCCATTTCCGCATTAGACTTTCCTAAAGATATATGTATAGTTTTTGTTCATATTATATTATTGTTCTTATTGTTTGATTAAAAAAAAGTTTTTTATTAATTTTATTTAGCTTTGAAACATGTAATGTATATAACAGACCCAAAAATAGTAATTCTTGTAGCACGTAAGCCATCTAATCATTAAAACTATTATTATATATTAAATTAACCGCATTTTGAAGACAAAGATAATTGACGGTCATGAGGGTTTCTATGATTTTTGTAATGAGAGATAGCAAATAAAAATGGTATTGTTTTTTAAACACTTTTTTCTGAATTTCGAACAATATCAATTTTGGACTAAGAAGGATCGCTATCGATATATTTTTAACACATTCCAGCTCGTACAAATACATATTAATAGAATCTGAAAAAAAACCTCATATCTTTTAAAATTCAACCTAAAACCCTTAGAATCAAGCAGTATGCATGGAGAAACAAGTTGAGTATGGGACCATATAAATCAAGGATGTGGTGAGAAACCGTTGTCGGCCCTTTTAACATATATCATACACTAAATTAATATAACACAATGAGTTGCAATCAAATAATTTAAATGAAAAGTAAGCTTTTAACATAATTTTAAAATAAAGGTTTACGCATTATATGCATTACAAGCGTCGAGATTATAACTTTTGTTTAAACTTTTTGTCTATTATTTTACGAAACAACATCCAACAATTGTCAACCATCATTTTTTTCATTCCAAAGCCCATGGTATTAAGCTTTCATAGCTTTAGCATAATGGTGAAAGCTTTGCTCTTTCTCTTCACTGACTACACCAAGGTTTTTGTGAGACGGAAATTCAGAAAGTGCAACTAATTCAGAAATCTTCTATTTATTTATGAGCATCTGCTGCCCGGTACAACTTGTGCATTTTACCCTTCCCCCTATTTCCTTCCGTGGCGCCCCTGAATACAAGTAAGAATGTTTAAAAATCTTTTTAATGTTTGAAAATTCTTTTTAAAGACAATAACTTGAAATACTTTTAAAAATAAGAAATTTATATAAACACGCTTTTTCATTTTTGTATTTTGTCATTTTTATTTGTTTATATTTATTGATGGCTCGTGTTATATTTTATTATAACGTTTTATGGTTCTGATGTCAATATCATTCAAATTTCAAGTTTTTATTTAAACTAGCCTACTTTTGTTGTTGTTGTTGTTGTTATTTTTATTTATATTCTTATTGATATGGTGATTATATTCTTTATTATAATTGATTAAAAGTATAAAAATCACAATATTTGTAAATGCAAAACTTTATATTAAAAAAGAAAGAAAATTTATATATATAAAATGTATGTATGAATGTGTGTATGTAAATGTATGTGTGTAACTGTGTGTATTTATATATGCATGTGTAAAGATATAAATAAAAACAAATAAATAAAATTATTAGACCAGAACATATTGGTCAAAATAGCTATTTTTTAGTATTTACGTCTTTATTGCAAGACTTTGAGACAATTTAAAATTTGGGATAAAATCTTAATTTATTTAAAACTGAAGAATAAACTTTGAGATGATTTAAAAGAAAAAAGAGAATATTCATTTTCTTAAAAATAAAGATTTTTATGTTTAGCAGCTCAAAATAACTGAGAATTTGAACAAATTTATAACTGGATATATAATCCAAAACAAAACTCAGTTGATAGACGTTAAGGACTACAGTACTGATGTTTAACAAATATTTTTTTAGTTTAAAATTACATTCAATGCGTAAAAAAAAACAATAAAAGTTAATTAACACATAATATTCTAAACGCGAGAAGCTATCAACACACAATTCTCGAGACATACCAAAACTGGAAATACAATACTCGAAAAAAAAAGCAATAGAAAATTGATTCAATAGATCCTCCTACCAAATAACCTACCGATTAAATAATTACCTATCATTTAAACAATTTCGTTAATAACAATGATAAAATTTATTTTAGTCAAGTAAAATATTTAGTAAGTCTTTACAAGTAAAGATTTCTGCAAATAAAAATTTTAGAGGTCGAAAGAATCAGTAATCACCACTAACTTTTTTTTTTTTTTTTTAATAATTTAGTTTACATTTGTTAGTTCGTTTTTACAATATATATATTGTAAAAACGAACTAACAAATGTAAACTAAATTATTAAAAAAAAAAAAAAAAAGTTAGTGGTGATTACTGATTCTTTCGACCTCTAAAATTTTTATTTGCAGAAATCTTTACTTGTAAAGACTTACTAAATATTTTACTTGACTAAAATAAATTTTATCATTGTTATTAACGAAATTGTTTAAATGATAGGTAATTATTTAATCGGTAGGTTATTTGGTAGGAGGATCTATTGAATCAATTTTCTATTGCTTTTTTTTTCGAGTATTGTATTTCCAGTTTTGGTATGTCTCGAGAATTGTGTGTTGATAGCTTCTTGCGTTTAGAATATTATGTGTTATATATAATGAGAGTTTAGAATATTATGTGTTATATATAATGAGAGTAAATAAAAAATTAATACAAATTATAAAGTAAGCAAATACTACTAACATTTGAAAAACTAGGTATCTGAAAGAAGATCAGTAAGAACTTATCGTCAGAACCTTATACTAGTGTAAACAAAGTATTATATTATAAAGTAACTAAAAGTACAACAAAATAAAAATAAAATATACATACATATATCACTTTGTAGTATATATAATAAAGTTTATTAAATATTTCTATAATAAAAATATTATTGTCAAATTTTGATAATACGGGAGAGAAAAAGATTTTTCAGCTTAACTTTAAAAAGATGCAAAGAAGTAGGTAGATCAAAATAAAAATTAGGCAAAACAATTTTGTTCCAAAGTTGGGGTGCACGATAATCAATGCAAAATTAGTTAAAACTTGTTCGACAAAAAGGCTCATATAGAAGGTTGTTATTTTTTAGAGAGTATTTATTGGTAGGTTTCAAAGTAATTAAATCATTACAAACGGCAGGAGAAAGATTGTTTTTGCATATATATAGAAAGCATAAAATATTTAAAATATAAAGTTCGTAAATATTAAGTATTCTCATTTCAGAAAAAAGATGTTTAGAGTGAGAAAAACGATCAGCAAAATTAATTACACGTATTGCATGTTTCTGACGGCGATAGAGAGATTGTAACTTACTTTTTTCAGTACTTGCCCAAGCAATATTTGCATAATTCATATAGCTATGAATGAATGCATAATAAAGTTGGGATAAAATTTTTTTATTTATATAGATTCTGGCCTTATAAAGAATTCCAATATTTTTTGAAACTTTAGTACCAACATAATCAATATGTTGCTTCCATGTGATGTTCTCATCAAGGAATACGCCTAAAAATTTTGTGGTGCAATCTCTTTTTATTTCAATATGGTCAATAAAAATATCAGGTAGAGTTGGGGGTAAATAACGTTTTTTAGTTATCGAATGGAAAAGAATCCATGTTTTTTTAATATTTAGGGTAAGTTTATAGCATTTGAACCAGCTAGAAATTATTTTGAGTTCTTCATTCATAGTAGTGAAGAGTTTATTAATATTATTATCAGATAAAAATAAATTAGTATCATCCGCAAACACAATACTTAAAAGATTAGAAGCTTTATGCAAGTCATTAATGTATATTAAAAAAAGAAGTGGCCCTAAAATTGATCCTTCCGGAACACCACATGATATATCTAAAACATTTTTTTGATAAGGATTGTTAAAAGAAACAAATTATTTTTGGTTTGTTAAATAACTTTTAAACCACTTCAAAATTACACCATCCACACCATAATATTTAAGTTTATGAATCAAAATGCCATGATTTACTGTATCAAATGCTTTTGATAAATCCAAAAACATACCTAAAGTGAATAAGGAATTTTTGAAAGAGTTGGAGATTTCACGGACGAATTGAATGATTGCATGCTCAGAAAAACTATTTTTTTTAAAGCCAAACTCATTTTTATAAAAAAATTCTTCTCCTTAAAATAAGTATATAATCTATTGTAAATAATTTTTTCTAAGATTTTTGAAAATGTTGATAAAATAGAAATAGGTCGGTAGTTACATATATTAGTTCTGTCTCCTTCTTTGTATATTGGGATTATCTTAATTATTTTTAACTTATCAGGAAAAACTCCTTGTTGTATTGACGCTCTGAAAACTTTAAAGAGAATATCTTTTAATTGTTCAAAGCATTCTAAGACTATGTTTCCATTTATTTCATCAGCTCCAGGGGCTTTGTTTTTTTAATAGATTTAAACGACACTTCAAACTCCTCAAATGATAGCTCAGAAGATAAATTATTTGAACAAATGCAATCATCCATCGGTGTTAAAAAGTTATTGAACACAAATTGGGTATTAGGAATTTTATTTGCTAGTTTCGAACCGATATCAATAAAGAATTTGTTAAACTCATGAGCTATTAATCTAGGTTCAAAAATATCTTTATTATCCACTCTAATCACCTGCGGTAGGGAACCTGATCAAGTTTTTTGTTTTCCACCAATTTCTCTTAATATTTTCCAAGTACGTTTAGAGTCGATTTTAACATTTTCAATTAATTTTGAGTAGTAATTCTTTTCTAAGTTTTTACGAGTTTTTTCAAATAGATATTTGTAATCTTTGTATATTTTTTTGTTCAAAGGTGTTTTTGTTTTTAAGTAATTTATATATAGCTTTTGATTGATCTTAGATGATTTTTTAAAACCCTTAGTCATCCAAGGAGCATTTAAGCTTTTTTGATTTATTGTTTTTTCACAGATGGGAATATTGGCATCATAGACAGAATAAAATGTTTTAAAAAAATTTATATTAAAATATTAAAAGTTATATGCTTCCAATGAAGTAGTGATAATTGTTTTTAAACTGTTCAATATTGTTTATATTATATATGCGTTTACTCATTTTATCATTAGTTTTGGTTTTAATTTTAGAATTTGAGTTGAATGATAGAAATATTGGAAAATGATCAGTTATATCTGCTGTCAATATACCTTTTTGTATATTGTTATTGAAGACATCAGTTGTAATAATGTTATCAATGAGAGTTGCTGAGTTTGCTGATACTCTAGTTGGACGATTAATTAAAGGAATTGCTCCTGTTTCAAATATTAAATCATAAAATTTTTTTTTTTTCTTTAATGCCTATTTTGATAACATTTTGCTCAAAAAACGTGCTCAGATTCTCACTCAGACCGTCAGGTGGTCGATAACAGCAGTTTAGTAATACCTTTTTAGATTCATTGTTTAAGATTATAACTAGATATAAAGATAAAAATGTAAACTATATTATTAAAGTATATTGAATAAAAACTAAAAAAAAATTAACAAATAAATAAATACTATTAAGAGCATTAACACTTAGATCGAATTATAAGATAGTTTACATCAATCGACGTTATCTAACAGAGCATCATAATAGTGATCTACCAGAGCGTGATAGTAGCACGCTTGTCTTGAATATTGCAATATGAAAGACATTATTAAATTTGCCGCATTCCTAATTGTAGGTAAATCCGCTTACCGTTTGGCTGTCATGAATTCATAAATTAAATACTAAGCTCTAATTTGCCAGATTTTTGGTAAGACTGCTTTTTGTCAAAGAAACCGCACATAAAAGATTACGTTTAAGTTAGACAGATATATCTTAAGGAGATCAATCATACGAAGTATTTATAACATTGTAATATAGGTATAAAGACATTAAGAGCCATTGTCTGAGAAATATAGGCAAAGTCTGGATGTGATGTCTTCAAAATGTCTTCATTTTCAGATATTTTGTAAAAAACAAAGAAAGTTGACCACTGGTAAATTTTTTTTCAAAAATTCCTATTATTTTCAGAGATATTGGGTCCCAAAATTTGGCCTATTTTGTGAAAATTGAAAATTGTGAAAAGTGAAATTTGTGAAAAGTGAATTTTGTGAAAAGTGAAAATTGCGCAAGGAGTGCAATTGCTACTTTGTGGGGCAAATTTAGCAACATGAATATGACAGACACATTTCTTTTTAATTTTTCTGCTAATCTGGGTAGATTTCTACAGTAAAAGTAAAATTTCAATATGGTTACATTTTAGTTGTCTAGAAATCATGGTCCGAAACCACTGATTTGTGAGCATGCAAGGACCTGGGAAGGAGTAACCTGCCAAAAAACACTTTTTGTGATTTTTGGCAGGTTACTCCTTAAACTAACATTTAACAAGTCTGTTGCCATTGCATCACTTCAACAAAGGTTGAAGTGATGCAATGGCAACAGACTTGTTAAATGTTAATTTTTACTCCTTAATTTTTTTTCTTATCTAACGCAGTTAAAACATCTAAATGTCATGATTGATATCTTATGTCAAATTTTAATCCAAGTTTTAATTTTAAAACACTCTTTTTTTTTAACAGTGGCGGGTTTTAGGGGGGTGCTACAGGGGTAGTAGCCCCACCACCATCCACCCCTTGCGACTTTTTTTCAGAAATATTCTTTTGTAAATGTACTAATTAACAGACTATTATGATGACAAATGAAATTGACTATTATACGTAATTATACGTATATGAATTTGATTACAACACTAAAGTGCAAAAAATTAAAAAAGAATTTCTTGTACTTTAGTGTAGTTATCAAACTTTTTATATTTTATTTTTTTAAATCTTTTTAGCCCCCTAATTTTTTAATACCTTTTTACCCCCCTCCTTGGCGAGTGACAAAACCCGCCCTTGTTTTCTAAATATCTTGTTGTATGAAGTTTCGTTTTACATTCGTTTCGAAATAGCATTCGGCAACTAAATTTTATATTGAAATTTTATAAGTACTCACTGAGAAATAATGATTAGCTAAATATAGCATTTTTTAGATCAAAGTTTAATAAATATTTTAAAAATCTGTATTTAGAAATAAATTAAAAGATTTTATTCATGCTATAGATAACATTTTAAGTTATTATTGTTTTGAAATAAACCTTGATTTATGAGATTTATGTTAATATATTTCTTTTCTTTGATGTATAACAGAACGTTAAGAAAAAATTTTAAAAATTCTATAACTCTATAACTCCGAAACACGAACCTTGATGAACAAGGCCGCTGCTCGGAGAAACGAGCTGAGCGCGGTACTACCAGGGACGTGGTGGGGATCGAACTTGGAACCACTCGTTTATGAAGCGAGCGCTCTACCACTACACCACTACCGCATGAAACTTGTGTTTTGTCAAGGTTTGCTGTAAAAAGTAGCTTATGGTGTAAATAAAATAAAGTTTGACAATTGAAAAGAACAAAAAGTAGCTATTGTCATTTTAATGATGAAGTTTAGCCATACAATCACATTTTATAAAGAAATTTGCAAGAAACTAATTTTTTCTCTATGTCAGATACTTCTTTACGTAGAATTTTTCGTGGAATAAAACCTTTTTAAAGAAAATGTTTGGCTGGTCTTGATGGTGTCATGGCAGCTGGCATGGATGGGTTTCAAACTTTGATTGCTGTTTCTGAAAAATGGAAATATAAAAAATATTAAGTTCCTTAAAAAGTATATCTGAAGAGTAATTATCCTTCCAAACGTAGTAAAAATTCCACTTTACATATTTAATCTATTGCTTTTACTCTTTTAGATATAGATCCAGACTTGAAACAACCTTAAATTATAGCTGCTGATGATGAAGAATACATTAATTGTGTTAACCTCATTTTAGCGATCAACCAGGTTCGTGGTTGATTGCTGAAATGAGGTTAGCACAATCTAGATAAATGGTCAAAATGGAAAAAAAGTATTTTTTTACATCTGTCTATAGTTGGCAGCAAAGCCTTGTTGATGTACTCTGTCTTGCTGATACTGTTTTGGTCAAAGTTAGAAATGATTTTCTTTGTTTAAAAAACCAATATGCTAAGTCAGATAACGCATCATCTCATTATGACAGCTTCTACTTAGAAGCCATTTTCAAAATTTACAAAGCAAAGCAATTCTCTCTTAAAAGGTTTGATTACAATAAGCTATCACTTGGAAAAGATCAATGTGACATAAAGTCAGCTGGAAAAAAAATTTTGACTAGAGAAGATATTTGTGAGGCTCTTCATAATGGCAAACAAATTAAAAATGCTTATGTTACTGAAGTTTCAATAGATTCTAAAGCTTCTACTTTATCAGGACCAAATCTGATTTCCAACATAAACAGTTATCATTCTTTTCAGTTTTTCTCTAATCACACGATCATGTGGAGATACATCCAAATTGGTAAAGGTAAAAAATAGAACTATACTTATGTGACATTCCATTTTTTGGTTCAAATTGTTAAATCTTATAGTTCAAATTGCAAAGGTTATACTGCACCATCATTTTCCAAAAAAGCAAGTTCACCACTAGCCGAGTACAATGTTAAAGCGAAGTGAATATGTGACAACTCAACAAACTCGATCATTATTCATTTTTGTGTATTAAGGTTTATTCCATTGAAATACAAAATTATTGGTTTATTAACCATATTAATTAATTTCAAGGAATATTTAGGAAGCAGCAATGAATAGACTTTACTTTGTTTTTACCTCAAACATTAGGTCAATGATGATGACATATATGTTTCTTTTATGGAATATTCTGCTGTACCTGGAAAAAACTGCTTCAAGTGGCTAACTAAAGAAAATATCCTCCAATATTCATCTTTTGACGTTGTTAGAGGATTGATCATTAATAAAGTTCTTAAGATTTTTTGTTTGTTTATAATTCTTAGAAAACTTTCCCATCAATTTTAAATGGAAAAAACGTTGATTTAAAGTTTAGTCTTTGAAGTTAATTTAAAGTTTAGTCTTTAAAGTTAAAGTTAAAAAACTAGATTTTATCAAGTGCAGTTTTAACATTTAGAAGTTTTTACTGTATTACATAAGAAAAAACATTAAGGAGTGCAAATTAACATTTAACAAGTTGGTTGCCATTGCATCACTTCACTCTTTGTTAAGGACTTTGCTACTGTCATGTGCTCTTGTACAGTTTCGTTATAAAAATGTATTACCCTAAAATTTTTAATTACAAAACTAATTATTAAAGCTATAAAGTAGCTGTTGCTGAGCATATCTATACCGTTGCTAGGGTATTTTTTTGATAAAAACTTTGCAAAATAAGGCTATTTCTAGGACTTCTGTAGACTTTTAATCATCCGAGCACATGGATTTCTTTTCAGATATTGGAAGATGCATGTTTATGACAAACCTAAGGTCACGGTTGTTATGGGTAATTTCTCAAGACGCGTTGAATGCAAAAAGTGATTTTTGGCAGGTTACTCCTTCCCAGGTCCTTGCATGCTCACAAGTTTTGTTCCATATAATCAATGTATGTCTTCGTGACTTTCAAAAACACATAAAAAATCTACATGCAAGTAATGGCCTTAAGAAATATTAGAGCTCAAAGTTAGGGTAAAATTTTATATTTATTGGTTTTGGACTATGATTTCTAGACAACTAAAAATGTAATCATGTTGAAATTTTATTTTTACTGTAGAAATCTACCCAGATTAGCAGAAAAATTAAAAAGAAATGTGTCTGTCATATTCATGTTGCTAAATTTGCCCCACAAAATAGCAATTGCAATCCTTGCGCAAATATTTTTACAAAATGGGCCAAATTTTGGGACCCAATATCTCTGAAACGAGTAGAAATTTTTGGAAAAAAATTTACCAGTGGTCAACTTTCATTGTTTTTTACAAAATATTTGAAAATGAGGACAATTTGAAGACATCATTTCCAGAATTTGTTTATTTTGCCTATATATCTCAGACAAATTATTAAGAAAATTTAAGAAAATTATTGTTGAAATACTTTTAATTTTTTTTTATTTATTTATTTTTTTTAAGTGCCCAAGAAGTCTTTGCGGTCTTATCACGGAGCACCGGGGAAGAGCATTTTATAGGAAGTTCACGCCTCCTTCCCAACCGATGTCGCAAAACTTGCCCAGAGCTGGGGTTTGAACCAGGAATCTTACGTTTTTGAGGCAAGTGCGCTACCACTACGCCACGGCTGCTTAAAAAGCGCACTTAGAGATGCACATTTAAAAAAAACAAGAAAACTTGAAGAAAAAAAATGAAGAAAATTTGTATTTTTAATAGTAGTTAGATTAAAAGAATTCACGGATAGACCAGAAAGAAAGTTTCTAATGAGAAACTCAACAGTTTTGGTATAGAAAATATTCTTAACCTGAAAAAAATTGTGTAACTAAAAAACGATTTAGATTTAACAACTAAATAAAGTCAAATTCCTAGTAGTTGACTTTTTCAAAAGTTTCTATACACTAATGAAATACATACTACTGATATCTTTAGTTTTTACACAATACTAAAGATATCACTCTCGAAAAAATTGAATTAGTTAATTCTAAAACAAAAGATAAAAGAATGAAGGTAAAAATTAACAAAGAGTTTTTGAAGATTAATCAAGAAGAAATTGGAGCAATAGTTAGGCTGAAGTAAGTCTTCAAAAGAGAATCACTTCATACTCTAAAAATAAGTAACAAAAAATATTAATAAAAAAACAAAAACTAGGCTTCAATAATAACTTCTTAAAAATCATAAATAACAAACATAAATCGAAATCGGAATGATGGAACATAAAAAACATTAGAGTGTGCACAAAACGTTTTAAAAACGTTCTTTCGACGTTTTTATTAGGTTTAATCGTATTAAAAAAACGTTTTTCGGACGTTTTTAATACGATTAAACCTATAAAAACGTCGAAAGAGCCCTTCATT